TATATATACATGAAACAAACAAACAAACAACACAATTAACAAAACAGGCTTGGAGTTGCGTCAAGAGTTACCTGACTCCCTCCCCTTACCCAGCAGAGCCAGCAGAGCCAGCAGAGCCAGCAGAGCCAGCAGAGCCAGCAGAGCCAGCAGAGCCAGCAGAGCCAGCAGAGCCAGCAGAGCCAGCAGAGCCAGCAGAGCCAGCAGAGCCAGCAGACCCACAACGACAGACGACAGAGTTTGACTAATTGTGTTCGGGTGTTACGTATTCCTTGATTGGTGAAAAGAAAAAAAACTTGAACGAGGCAAACAACTAACACACTAACCTGTGCGGCGCGATAAGGGTTCGACGTTTTGCTGCATATTCTTTACTTAATAATCCACTAACGGGTACTTTAACTTTACTTGGGTCGGCGTTATACCACAAAGTATCCGCAAAACTTAATGACAGAGCTTCAATCAAGGTGTGGAGATACTCGCTGGAGTTATGTGTCATACCTGGAATGGAAGAACGAATTTCAACAGTTCAACGACTTTTAAACTCATCGGTGCAATGGACAGTTATTGAAACGATGCACGGTTGTTTTCATTAGAGTATTGCTCCTGCTGCCACTTAGTCTACTGCAGTTGCTGCAAGGCAATTGTACTATCTCTAACTCCACCAACCACGCTGCCACTGCTATTTAACTCTTACTATCATGTTTGTTGTGACCATTTCTACTATCGTCACTGCTTAATCCTTTCCACTCGACCATCAGTATGCATATTCTCCCTACTGTTTTCCATACATTTTCTAAGGTGCTGACAAGAAGAATTTGTTTGATAATTAGGCCGCTCGCCTAATCTGCAATGTAGGTCGTTTCGAACACATCACCCCATCACTGTACAGGCTCCATTGGCTACACATTGACTATAGAATCCAGTTTAAAATTCTTCTTTTTGTATATAAAGCCCTCAACGGTAGCGCTCCCCCTTATATATCTGAACTTGTAAAACTGAAACCAGCCTCAAGATACAATCTCAGAAACTCTGATGATACGTTTTTACTGAGTAATCCTTCTTTAAAGAGTCGTATCACATTAGGTGACCGCTCATTTAAATATGCAGGGCCTAAAATGTGGAACGAGCTACCGAGAGACATACGTTATGCCAATACTGTACATATTTTAAAGCGTCTTCTCAAAACTCACCTGTTTGGGAAAGCCTATCTGCTTTAAATATCATCGGTCAAATCATGAATATTATGACAGTTAAGATTTTAATATTTATAAAGATTGTAATAATTATAAATACCATAGTTTTAATAATATCACGTTTGTAGAGATTTTAATGACTATTAAGATTGTCAAGATTGTAAATACTATACAAAGTCATTCAATAATCAGGATTGTAATGACTGTGATGATTGCAATGATTGTAAACACTGTACTGTAAGATTATTATACTGTAATGCGCGTGTGAGTATCTGCATAATTATGTAACACGCGCAATATAAATAAATGATTATCAAATTATTATTATCATAATTTAAAACAATTAGGAGTTTCTTTAGTTGGTGATCATTTCCTTTATTCTCATGAGCTTAATGCATGATCCTGGGTTGATATTGTAAGGAGAAATGAGATGCTGGTCACTCTTACGGGTTAAAAGGTTAAGTTTGTACCAATCTGCAACTGTTATTACTAACTGATACTAAAATTTGCTGTTATTACTCCAAAATATAAACAGCTACGGCTAATATTACTCCTACTGCTAATATTACTCCTACTGCCACAAATTATGCTAGTACTCTCACTTCTTCCCATATTACTAAAAAAAATGCCACAAGTTAACGGTACTGTTACAATCAAGTATTATGAACACATATCCTATGGTGGAATACCTGTGCTTCCACAGGTGTGAGATTTTCTTTTTCAGTTCCAGTAAATTTTCAAGATATCTAACCTTGGATGTCAAATCCCTCCAGTATGTTCAGGGCCAGTAGTGCAGTGATTCCCTGTGCATTTGGAGGCATTTCCCAAACATTTATCCCATGGTAGGAAGTCTTTATTGGTTCATCAAAGGTGCTGTGATGTTGCTCTAAGTCTTCAAGGGATAACAATCCACCATGCTCTTGTATAACATCAACTATTGCTTTGGCTATACGTCCTTTATAAAAACTATCCTTCCCTTTTGAACCTAATTCCTACAAAATATCAATTTACAGTGGTCATCCAGTCTACAGTGGTAGTACAAACTGAATCTACTGTTTATGAGCAAATGCACTCAGTCATTCCTCTCATAAAGGAATACCAAAAGGACAGCACGGGGTCACTGGAAATTGATATGTACCTGAGAATAATGCACATAACTGACTCCCTTAGCGCCTCCTCCTACTTCCCCCTTCCACAAGTCTAATTCCTAGTTCTGTTGCCAGTTGGAATGATTTTACAGCACTAGCTCCCTAGCAGCTCTCCCACCATCCCCACAGTGCACTATGTACTAAAAAAATGAAAAAAAAAAAATTATATCATGAAAATAATGTGCACATTTTGAGGGCACTCAGTGTGCTTTTAAGTTTTTAAAAAACTAGGCAAGTAAAGTTTGCCAAGAGCTTTCATTTTTTTTGGGGGGGGTAATTCATTTGCAAGACCTGAGGTAAAAAAGACTGCATTAGTCAAGGTTAACTATTTGATCAATGTAAATACTTGAAGCAGTTCATTAGTTAGTATCTGTTAAGAGTGTGATGAAGGGTTTAAACCTGAACCATGGTTAAGCCTAAAATGTGCAGCATGAATTTTACAGAAAGGCAATGTATGGACAGATATGAGATTTTTGCTTTCAAATATGTGACACATGAAATGCTGTTTAAAGTACGTATGACAAGCCAATTTCTCTAAAATTTGGATGCAAAAAGTGGTCAGGACCCCCCTCCCTTTGCTACCCTTTGTAAGTTATGTTATTACAATGGAAAGAACTAACGTTAAATAACTCATGGCAGTTAAGGGTTTGTGGAAAAGAATTAGCCTTTCACAAGTAGAGAGGTGGTCCTCTTAGTTGACTGGGTTTGTGCGGAAAGGTTACCTCAAATGTTGCAGCTAAGTGTGGCATCACCATGACATCACCTGCTTTAGGAGGATGTCCATTTAGCAACATATCACATCCATGTTTATTTGTTGGAACTTGGAGGCACGACCCACATTTATTCCAGAAATATGCAGCAACTTGGTGGACAGGGAATCCTTCTTTTGCTAAGTCAATTGCTGGTTGTAAAATATTTTTCATAGATAACTAAAAATGACAATGAACAAAAGAAATGTGTGAGTGCAGTTGTAAATAAATAGCTTAACTGCATTGGGTTCACTGTTCTTCCACAACCTGGGTTTCTCTTGAAGGAAATTTAACACAAGTTCAACTATAAATTAATTCTTCATGATACTGAAATTTAATTTGATACCTTCCCAGTCATTGACTGACATGATGAAAATTGCTTGGTGAATAACATTTCAATAGGAAGAACAAAAAAAAAAAAAACAAAAAAACAAATTGCAGTCTTAGTGAAGGTGTTTCCCAACAGCTTATTCCCCAGTTTTGAATTTTTCGACTATATATGAGCCAACTGATCTGAAATGCTAAGAGGAATCAATCTAATAGTTTGATGTCTTGCTCTTGAGTGAAAAGGAACACCTACTAGGTCAATACAATTTGAACATGACATTACATGTACCCATTACAAGTACCTCTCCACTTCCAAACTGTTCCACTGTGTCGCACCAAGCAGCGGCAGCCCCAGGGACAGTGACACAGTGGGCAGAAGTGTAAGGCAAATGATCATCCTCTGGCTTCACAACACCTGCTCTTTTCAGGGAATCTAACGTCAAGTTGGACGATGCCCGTCCACTTAAAAACCATGAAATGAACAGCAAACAAAAAAAGAAAAAGATTTATGAGTAAAGGTCCGGTAATACGGGCAACATTTTTCTTCAACTTGTCTTGCAACATTGTTGCAATGCAAGTTGAAACCCTTTGTTGCACATATTACCACATTCGTGACCAACTTGTCTCGCAACAAAATATAGTGCTGCAAGTTGAGGCAACGTGTTGCGCAAAGTAGACTCAATAGCACGTTTTCCGTCTATAGCGACGATACCATTTGGAAAAATCCATCTTGCCTCGAATTTGTCTGCCACTGCGTCCCACTCACTTTCTGAGTTTGGTACTTTTAGATATTCTGGAGCAAGTACCTATAGTATAGGAAATTAAAATGTATGTCAAGTATGTTAATTTGGACGCTGTTATATAAATAAATCAACAATTTTAAGACCTGCTTACCTTGTACAGGGCACGGCTTGTTTCTGACATGATTGAAGAAATTGTTTGGCGTGAAATTCTGAACGAGTACTCGAGGGAATGATAAGTTTCTCCCATTGCCAAATACCATAACGTTACAGCTAGGCATTCAACTGGCTGTTTTGTCGCCTGGACAGAATTGATGGGTGATGGCTGCTCTTTCTTTTGGATCAGTGGGGATACTTTTCCCAACAGAAAGGAAAATTGCTCCTTTGTCATACCGAAAAGCTCTTTGTATGCCACAACATCCCCCACTTCAAGCTCTCTAATTAGCTGGTGAAAAACGCCTGAATTCTCTCTCTGGGAAATCCATTGTCGCATGTAAATTTTCCAATTTCATTTTCGAGGCCTTTCCTCGTCTTTATCAAGCAAAAGGCCCAAACAGAGAGTTGCAAGCCCTCTCTTCTGACAAAGGAAGAGTTCAGCAGCCGCCATCTTTGTTTATATACGACTGACCAATCATACGCACAGGATTCCACGAATTTGCAACACTATATTTAGTCTGATTTTGTTGCGAGACAAGTTGGTCACAAACGTGGTAATAAGCGCAACAAAGGGTTTCGACTTGCAATGCAACAATGTTGCAAGACAAGTTGAAGAAAAATGTCGCCCGTATTACCGGACCTTAATCATTATTATATTATTATCATTAACATTACTATTTAAGAGTGGGAAAGTTTATCAACTATGGTAAAAATATCATTGTCTTTGTTTTCATATAATTATGGAATAGAGCCTAAACACCTGTACATGATCATGTATATGTTGTAGTTCAATTCTATACTTGGTTCAAATTTTATTTTCCTTTGTTCTCGGTCATGTTAATGTATGATAATGACTTTGAAACAAAGGAAAATAAAATTTGAACCAAAGATAAAATTGAACCACAACATATATACTGGTTGCACAGTTGAGGACAGGAGGGTGGAAAGTCAGAGGGGAACTCCCACTTTTTTTTTCTCTACAATAGCACCTTATTTTCAGGGAACAAAGTGGTAACATACTACATAAAAAATTTGAGGGGATTTTTACACAGATACAGAAATTCATGTACAGGCTACAATCTGCCTTCTACATTATTACCTTTTGCAATGTAAAAGTCAGACTAAATGATCAAACAATTGCTTGAAGTTACTACCAGAAAGTGCCCTGTTTATCCTGTGTCTTTCGCATGTATACAACAAGAGTATTTTCAGGGGGTAGGTTAAATGGGGCAGATTAGGTAGTGAGCCTGGCGGAAAAGGAACAAATATAAAATTGGTCATCTCTAGAGTTCGACATCTGACTCTCTCCAATATTTTTAAGGAGTATCTACATAACCATAGCGCTTAATTTAATTATCCTGTTTCGGTGACGATCAGAAAAGAATATAGACAGCACCTAGGCGGTACAGCTCATATGATTTGCGCGTGCATGCCATTTTCACTGTACTTGCCCACTTTTCACATCTGAAACAAAATATTGGATCTTGGCTTTTTCCTGGTCTAATAGTCTTTAGGAACCTTTAGAATATGAGTTATTGTATACATCAATACCTCCCATTGATTCCTTTGACAATTTTCTTTTTCGCGTCATAAAATAAACCGAACGCATCTCCTCCTATACCAGTGCTGCAAGGTTCCGTCACATTCAAACAGGCGGCAACAGCGACTGCTGCGTCGGCTGCATTTCCACCAGCTCGCAAAATCTGTAATCCTGCGTCTGTTGCTAGTGGTTGACTTGAAGCAACCGCTCCATAAAGGGAAATAACAGGAGATCGACGAGAAATGAAAGGCAACGTAGATTCCACAGAACCTGCCGCCATGTTTTTGTTTCACTCCTACCCAGGGCTACCCAAAAGAGTCGCCGAAAGCCCTGGGTAAGAGAATTGACCAAGGGCGTAAGGAGGGTAACAAACAAAGAATTTACCTCATCTGGTTTCATTTGTCTTTACCACGCGCTGGTCTTTGCTGGCCGATATTGCGTGCGGTAGTGGTCCAAAGATCAAGCAAAACAATGACGAACACGGCCTGGGGTTAATGAGCTAATGTTTATGAAAGATTAACTCGGATGTAGTCCTTATTTTGCTCGACAATTGACCATGGGTTATCAAATTATAGTTTTAAAAAGGGTTAAAGGATAAACTGCAAAACCAAAATGATATATTTCACCGAACACCGTCGGTCTGAAATTACAAACATCGCACACCGTAAGGTTTGAGATCACCGCAACACCGCAATGCGAGTTGTTCTTCACCGCAATACCGCTCTAAAGAAGAGGTCAGCCCTGAAACCGCACCACCTTAATCCCCAATGCCCCCCTCCGTTAGTAAAATTGCAGAAGATAAAGTAACTAGTCAAACCTGGAAGCCTTCTGAAGTAATTTTAGAATAGCTCTTATCGCATTTACGCCCACTGTACGAGAGCTAAGCGGACTTAGAAGTTTCGAAACGAGGCTATCAGGTCGCACAGGTAAAACTTTCAAGTAAAATCGAAGCAAACGGCTACGTTTGGAGGCATTTTTATTCATTTTCTTAAGGATACAGCGTGTTTTCGTCATGGTTAGACATTGTATTGCGTACGGGTGCAACAGTCTATTCAGTGAATCGGCAACTGACGAGATCCACAAGATTAGGATCGAAACCGTGGTCTTGCCAATAAGCATTTATAGATTATGCTAGCATAATTTTTGGCATAAATCGAGCAAACTGGCATAATTTCTGCCAAGTAGCAATGTTAGCATAATTTGCGCATTTTGATAATTATCAGATCATTTTTGATGCCATTATTTGATAATTTTTTGTCTCTAGTCCCAAGCACTTGGTGACCTTAATCGATATTTAAAGTTTTAGTTAAACTAGTAGCATTTGTAGTTCACTGTGAAGCACTGAGCCCGGGTCTAACCTGAACCACGTGTTTATTTAAAATTCATTGTGGATTTGTTGCGTTTCTTTCCTGTAGACGAACGGCTTCTAGTTA